CAGTACAGATGCCCTTCCACGAGGCAGGGAAAGCCAAGACAAAGAGGGTGTTTAGTAGGAGGTAATAAGGCTCTGGAACGGGATCTCCTAAAGTCCCAGTCCCATAATCTAACCATTTTGGTACCCACGATGTCTGTTCCCTTGCCATAGGGAGGACTCATTCTGCAGACTCATCCTCCACCCACGGCACCAGCCGCGCCATGAATGGCTTGCAAAGCATGAGGAACTCACAGTGTGGCTGGAGATCTGGTAGCGATCCAGATGGAGAAGGCAAAATCTGGAAATCCCGCAGTATGTAAGCAATGAAGAGAAAGGCCTCCATCCGAGCCAAGGCTTCTCCTAAGCAGACCCGGGCCCCACAGCTAAAGGGTACCAACTGCCGCTGGGCTTCGGCCAAGGCTTGGCTCTCCAGGAACCTCTCTGGGGAAAGAAGACAAAGAGATGAAGCCAGAAAGTCTAGAGGAGACACCCCATATGACTTGTGAGTTGGCAAAAGTCTCTCCTGGATTCGCCAGAACCTGGTGGAGGTCTTTGTTTGTTCTTTGTTGGGTTCAGAAGGTTGCTGCAAGAACACAGCCTTGGGGTAGACCATTCTTTTGCCCAAAAGCCTTGCTTTACAACACAAGCACATCACCACACACTTTCTCTCTTTCATTCTTTTGCACACAGACCCACAATACCTGGTCGGAACTCCTGAGGATTTGGCCATTTGCTTGGGTCCTGGTGAGCGCCATAGAGATTGGGGATGACCGTTGTGCCTTTGGGGATGGAAAACCCAGCCAAACTTTGGGAGAAGGGAAGATGGATGGGAAAAAAAGAAACACAACAATTTAGCCAACACCGTTTTCCTGTCTTTGGGACCTTGGCTTCCTCCCCTTCCCCCTTCACTCTACTCTCTATTCCCAAGGACCACAAACATCTAAGATTTATTGCAACCAACTGGTTTCAAGGTTGGCTGCCATCTTAACTGTTCAACCCTGATTCTGTACTGTAGAGATTCCCAAATTTTGATCTTCCAGGTATTTCAACTTCCAGAAGCTCTAGCTGACATGGACAACAGTCAGGAATTGTGGCATAAAACATCGGAAGGACCAATGTTTGGAACCGTTAGTATTAAATGAGGGCTGAATTCTAAGCAATTTTCTAGCCAGCCAAAAATCCTGATAATATCTAGCTTTTTCATACAACACAGTGATCCTTTTGGAAGTACAAGTCTGGATTTTGGATTTAAGTGGTACCTCATTTTGCCAGAAGCAAAAGATTGTGGGAAGTTGGAGGA